TTGATCCATATCAATCTCGACTTCACCTACGACCTGCGGCCGATCCTCTTCGTCTTCGTCATCTTCTTCCAAAGGTACCAAAGAGCCGCTTTCCCGTCCCATCCGCCGACCTATCTTTCAACGCGACAAATTTGATGGTGTAGATTCAGATGATGAGACGTCAGAGGAAGAGGAGGGTGGGCCGTTAGAAGAAGATGACGAAGACGAAGAGGATCGGCCGCAGGTCGTAGGTGAAGTCGAGATTGATATGGATCAAGAACAAGAAGACTTTATTCGATTCTCGAGGGAGATGCTGGGTATTGATGATGATGCGTGGGCCGACATAATCGCCGACAGGGAGAAGCGAGGAGGTGGGTATTCTCCTAGACCTCATTGTCAAGCTAACCTTTGCTTCCAGTATATATTCCTCCTAGCGCCAGATCCTCCAAAGAAAGGGATACCATAGAAAAAGAAAAGACTCCAAAAGGCCCAAACGCCGCTCAATTTTTTGACGAGATTCCTGAGATTGCGGTCACCCAACGACCCACACGAACAAAACCCAAGCCCGAAGATGACAGTTCACGGATACCTAACCCCGACCTCGACTCCTTCGAAGCCGTCATGGACGCGATGGAGAAGGAATTAGCTAAACTAAAGAAGCCTCCATCTACCAAGCAAGCCACACGGGATACCAAGAGCAAGGGAAAGGCCAAAGATTTACATATTCCACCGCGACCCAATTCCTCGAAACCACCTGGTATCGGTATGGACGTAGACGGAGATGAGGATGATGAGGATGGCGCAGATATGGCCGAGCTCCAGCAAGCCATGGACCTCGAACTCCGTTCCGCGCTCAAACGGGACATGGAGGTCGTGTCTTCGGGAGAAGAAGGTGGCTCGGGCGACGAAGATGACGAGATGCCCATGGACTATAACCTCATCAAGAATTTTCTGGAAAGTTTCAAGGCGCAGCAGGGACTGTCTGGGCCCGTGGGCGGCCTGGCTGGGAGACTGCAGGGTTCAGACTGGGCATTGCCCAGAGACGGATAATCTCACAAGTCAAAAGTGTGACAAAAGGACTCTTAGACGCACACATGGTGTAGTTGTAATAGTTGGGTATTCATTTTTTCGTTCCTACACACAGCTCTACGACAGAAAGAGAGAGGGGTATTTGAGATCAACGAGTCTGAGATAAAGTGAGAGATAGTATTAGGATGTGATTAAATGGATAGAGGAGCAGAATAGTATAGGAGGGAAAAAGTCACATCAGCAGACAAGCAGAAACTGATAGTCCGAAACCGAATGGGGAGAGACGGGAGGGTTGAACCCCCGCACAAAGATTAAGTTCTTATCTGGGCCATACCCACCACTGGGCTCAATCAATCGATTGAACGGGGCGGAGTATAGCACGACAGCGAGAACGGAGAATACCATTTGTTTTGTTCGATGAGGAGTTGTGGGGTTGTCCAAAAAGATAAATGAGTTTTCCAAATCAATTGATAAACTTGAGGTTTTTTTCTCTTTGGCCCATGCTCCTCGCACCAGCGCGCGACGCGCTATCTTATCCTTTCCCGAAAGAGAAGAGACAAGACGAGTAGGTGCAGACAAATGAGTGCGGGGGTTGAGAGTTGAAGAGTAAGAAGACCAGGAACAGATATAAAGAAGTTTCATGGTGAATGAAACGACCCAGTCTGAGCCCAGTCAATCAAACATCATTTAACCTCTAGCCACGCTCCCCACCAACGAACGATTCGCCGCGCCCATAGCAGATGACACCGTCAACGGTGCACCCGTACGAGTAGTATTGACATTTGCAGACGAAGAAGAAGAGGTAGCATTGGTCGACGGTTGAGTCCTCATAAAGCTACCTCCAGCCGACGAACCAGTATTGAACCGATCAATGTTCGCGTTTGAGCTGCCAATGGCGATGTTAGGCACAAAGCTCGCAGACTAGAATAATGAAAAATAGAATGGTATAGTGGGGGGTGGAAGGAAACGGTCACACGTCAACAAAGGGCTCCCCTGGACTATGAAGCAGAGTCAAAAGAGTAGGGTACGTACAGCGGCAGCGTTCGTGGGGGTCGTCGAACCTTTTTGACCTTTAGGCGCACCACCTGTCGTAGTGGGATTCCCGACATGGTGGATACGTCCAGCACTAGCATGGGCATTGACGTGGGGCAGAGGGTGTCCCGAAACGCCATACGTGGACGCAGCAGAGGACCCGCCTCCACTGTTGGCCATCTTGAGGCCACTCTCGTCCTTGTGGATGGAGACGAGATGTCGGCCGAGATCGTGTTTGCGCGAAAAGGATCGTCCACAGTTGGGATGGTGACATGTGTGTGGTTTGAGTCGGTTGGGGTCGTGCGTGGCCATGTGCGTCTTTAGATTGAACGCGCGTGCAAAGGCTGTAATAGTAGTAACGATCGAGATAATAAAAATAGAGTTTAGGTCAGTAGTGGCCCGGTCGTCAACGTGGCGCGAAAAAAATAGAAATGATTTGTCATCAAAAGGGGGAAGAGGGGTCGGGCAAAGGGGGATTGCTAAGGAAGAGAACGCTCACCTCTAGGGCAGTTAGGGCACTGATACTTTTTCCGAGGATCAATGGCGGATTGGGGCGGGACCTGCGCGAATTGGGCGGCGGCACTCAACAAATTGGTCGAAGTGCCAAACTCGCGTTCCATTTCAATAGCAGCGGCCCCTTCATCGCTGCTCAGGCGGTGATGGAGCAAGTGGTCGTTGGGGGAAGTGTCGCGGGCCGAGTTGCCAGAGTCGTCAAAGGACGAGTAGGATGCGGTGGATGAAGGCATGAGGAGATCTAGGTTTACGGTTGGGGGTTGGATGGGGTTTGGACCGTTGGTGGCTTGTGCGGTGGTTTGAGCGGGTTGGATGCTGGTACCGTTTAGGAGAGCAGGGTTCGAGTTGAGGTTGTTATCCCCTAGTCCGAATGCAGCGAGATCGGCAGAAAAGTTTTCGAGAGCCTGGTAGAGACTGGGATTGAGCTGACTGGGATTGGCCGCGTTGACGAGGGATCCCTGGGGCGAGTAAGGATTATAGTACGACTCGCTTCTTCCGTCGTCGCCGATTCCGTTGTACGCGCTTTCGCTACTGGCGGTGATGACAGAGAGAGGACCGCCGGGGTGGGAGAGGGTGCCGCCTCTGTGGTAGGAGAACTGGTGCTGGGTGAAATCGACGGTCTCGAGGGTGTTGAGCCAGTTGAGCTGGGCAGGACCTAGGTCTGCGAGTGCGCGTTCGAGGTCTTCGTCGAACTGATCGGGGGCAGGGAGGGAGGCGGCAGGCGCGATGGACTCGTTCGTTGAGGAGGGGAGGAACCAGTTGAGATCGTTGCCTGCGAGCGATGCGTTGTTCGAGTGCAGATTGTGGAGAGGTGCTTGGTTGTTGTTGCTGTTTGTGTTTACGCTGTCAAACTCGGGAAAGGCGGCAGCGAGAGCGTCGAGGTCTTGGGGGATCTGATGGTGCTGCTGGTAGCTGTCCAGGTATGCTGTGGATGAGGATACAGGTGGGAAGAGGGATGAGAGTGGATTGGAGAGACTGGGAGTGTTGCGTCCTGTGCCACTGCCTTGGAGATCCTCCAGAGAGTCGTTGGTGGAGGAGAGAGGGAACGAAGAGGTGGCCTGCATGGTGCTGAGATGATTGGAAGTGACTTTTAATCCTGTGACTAAAAAGAGACGCTTATGATGTACGAAATCGATCCGAGCAAAAGGGGTTGAGTGGTCGACCGAGAGCCGTGCCCGCAGTGGTGGGAGCGAAGTTGTGTGGTGGCCGGATGCGGCAATAGACGCTCGCCACTAGTCCGCAGTTCCACTATCCTCGCGCATTTCGCACTAGTATCCTATATCACAAAAATATTGTATAAATCACCATACGTGTCATCAACGGGTATCTATGTATATATGTGCTCGTCACTCGAATATACCCCGTTGGTGCTCGCCTACGCCTGCACCTACGCGTAGCATATGCGAAATGAAGGTTGTTGTAGCACATGGAGGCATCCCGCGAGAAGGCCCAAACCGGCCCACCAGGCGTACGCGTAGTCGCCCTTCCCACCGCAGCCCAACCGTCAACAAGTGTACACCCCATTCACTCTGCCGTCTTCGTCCATCAGACTGCGCGCGTCTACAACTCATTCCGACTTCTCCGAGGTTTATCTTCAGTCTTGCGCAGTACGTGGCCCACTCTTATACGGCTCCCGTATCGAGTATTGACCGCTACGTAATCCCATTAGCAAGCCAAGACGCTAGCATCAAACAGGAACGTCGTACCACCTTTTGGGCTGGGTTCCAATTCACCGAACTCGACAATATTCGCTCATCTGTTGCCGCAGTCTCCCAAGCGTCTTGACTCGGTTTCCTCTTCGGGCTCCTGCTGCGACTCGACCCCGTGGCGTGCTAGCCACCAGCCCTTTCCATAGCTCACCACAATCTCGTCTCCCTTTCCAATCGGTCTGCTACCGCTCCACACACTCAT